GGAAAGGGACCGTACTGTCAGTAATAGGAGGAGCTAGTCAGAGAATAAAGGATAGGGAGGACTACTCACCAGACGATCTTCATTGATAAGTTGTTGGAACACAAAATTGTAAACGCAAGAGAGAAAAGACGAATAGTTGCTCGAGAAATTGACAATGAGAAAATGGATGAACTGCTTCACATCATTTTGAGTTCTATTCGTATGAATGGAAAAGTATTTGGTATATTCTTAGATATACTCAGAGAGGAAGATACTCTAAGAACTATTGGACTAGCTGATGAGCTTATACAAAAAAATAATAATAGCTAGGTATTTTGCTTTAGTATTATTATAATTATTCTTATCATTGTTGTTGCTTTTTTGCTTAATATTGTTGATTTTATGGAAGCAATTGCTTTGCAAAAATTATAACAATAAAGAAAAAGAAAAATCTAAAAATTCTTGAGTATCTCTTTATTGATGTACAGTACATGTATATGTACAGTTGTCATAGCAACAGTCGTTTTCCTCAGCAACGCTACTGATCTAGTTGTTAGAGTAATTCTTCTATAGAAAGTAGAAGGAGGAAGAGAGAGAGGATCAAGAGAGAAAGAATGGAATGACATCATGAGAAGTAACATGACTTACCCTCTTTGATGAAAAGGAGCATACATTGGGTACCCCATAAGAACAGTAACAGTATACCATAACCTAATGATAACAATAAACAATGTATCATGTAATACCGTAATTTCTCTAAAAATTCATCATGACTGTTTTGGGGCAGGTAATTTTGAGAACAAAATTTTAGAAGTCAAACAGAAATAATTATGCCAAAATAATTATTTTTGACAAATTTTGAGGCAACATGGTGGTGTGTGAGTCCATCATGAAAGTCTGCCAAGTCGCTGCTTACCTACCACTCCATTGACAGTAGATGAATACAGAGAATCCTGACAAAATTAGAACACATGGTAGGGATATTTTTTGTGACGAATATTTAGACTACTTTAGGTACTTTTTCTCCCAAATAATTATTTATAACTTAAAAATCATCGGCTCAAATTTTCTACATAGCATAAGGGCATCAATCTGTATCAGGAAATATAATTAAAATTGGGGATGATTTTGGAGCCATTTTTTACAAAAAAACCATGGGCTATAGTACAGGGAATTTTTCAGAAAATGGCTGTTTAATGTTTAAGCTAATTCTCATTACTAAATTTTGGAGCTACGTGTGTACATGTACACATATCAAAAGTGAAAAATTTGCCAAATTTTGGAAGGAAGAATTTGAGATAAAAGCAGTAAAAGTTTATTACTATAATTTTTATTCTTCCACATGGTTACAGGGTAAGCACGTTAAAAATGAAAGTGGCTTTGACTATACAGTACTTATTAAAAGACACATTAATATTCTTACTCAGGAGGTAGCATAGCTTTCATCATCACAACTTCCTTTCTCACCACACCTCCTCTCACTCCACCCACTCCTCATCCTTACCAACACAACATCACGACTATCATCAAAAGTCACATGATCTCTCACTTGTATGGTCACGAGGGGATCTTGAGGGACGAGGGAGAGGTTGGCCGTCACATGTGGTCTCCTGGTTCTTCAATACAAGAGATACTAGAGGACCAATACTGTTCCTTTCCGGAGGATGTCAGGTCTCATTCATTTAATTAAGAGGAGGACATCAAAGAGAAGATAATGAAGAGACTCAAACCTTCCTCACATATAGGAGAGACTATAATAGAAAGAGAGGGAGGGAGAGATATACATAGAGAAAGGAAAGAAGGAAAGGAATAGAATGAGG